CCCGCAGCCGGTGGCACCGCGCGTCAGCCCCCGGCACGCTGCAGCATCCTCCCACCTGCCGAGGGGAGAGGGGAGAAAGTCACCCACAGGACAGAGCACCCAGAGGTACCACGAGATCCCCGTCTCGACAGGGGACATTCGATTCAATTCAACCCATCAAACCACGTCCTCACGGGACCGTCCCATCCCCGCAGAGGGGCCAGCGCGCCAGAGCTTGGATGTGCCGTGCCAGATGCTATACAAACAAAATGCAAGGTAAGAAAAATGGCATTACTTCCACTGCCAAGGACTCCCCAGATTTAGCACCTCCAGGTTTGACATGTATTTACAAACACAGTAACATCTCTCTTTAAAATAAAAAATGGAGTCGGCTCAGAGAGTTTCAGAGCAGGGGGCTAAAACACTCTGCAGCACGGCAAATCGACCCTTGGGAAAAGCCACCAAATCCAAGATTAACATTCACTTTAAAACCATAAACAGATTATACAGCTACTGCTTCTCATTTGGAAATGCAGGGCCAAATTCAGTTCTGGATTAACTCCACTGTTGAAACAGAATTACCCCAGGAACACTTTTGATCCATAATATCATTTTCAAAGGCTTTTTCCTAAGCGGCAGGCAGAGAGTTCAAGATAACTGTCCCTAAAATGGTATTTAATTCAGAAGAACATGCCAAACACATTTCTTAGCAAAACAGGGTATAATCAGATTCAAAGCCATTAAGCGGAGCAGTCACCTCTGAAGGTCACCCGGGCTCTCCCCTGCCTGTAGCGAGGCCGTGTGTGACAGCCACATCCCCAGCGCTCGCCCAGCCTCGGCCGCTGCTCTGGCTCGCAGCCCTGACCCGCTCTAAGGGACAAAACGCACTTGCAAAACCTGGGAAACTCGGCCCGAACTCCGGGAGAAGGTTTGCTTTTGCAATGCTGGTTAACCCCCATTTTCATCCCCCAGGGACAGCCCTGCTCTGGTTTGGTACCCAGAGGAATCGCTGCCGCCTCCAGAGGATGGGGGAATGACTCCTGCTCCGCGGGCACCCTCCGCTCTCCCTCCCTGGCTTTTCTGTAATCCTCAATGAATTCGCACTCAGATGCACAGAGCGTGCCGCTGAGCCCCGTGAGCGAGCCTGAACCGCAGCCCCCCGGCCAGACCCTGCACCCTGGCTCAGGGCAGTGGTCCCTGGGCTGAGCACGGGGCCACAGGACCCTCCAGCTGATGCTCCCACGAGGCATGGTGCGGCCGTGCTGCAAACAGACCTCTCAGCACGGGGAAGGCAGCTGGAGACCCCAGGCACGCACCAACAGTCCCACGGGGATCCCACCCCACAGGGATTCCCGGGACACGTGGAAAAGCAGCAGCAGATTCACCGCTGGGCTCGAGGGGCCATTTCCAAACAGCACCGGGAACCCCCAGCTCGCTCCCCGCTCTCTAACAAAAAGCATTAAACAGATCACTCAGCCGAGAACTGTCTCCATCCCGCAGTCGCTCTCTGTCCCCAGGATCGTCCCCTGCTCGCCAGGAGCCAGGCGCGGAGCGGCGTTGCGCGAGCGGAGCAGGAACAATCCCGACAGCCCTGCCCGGCTCTATTTACTGAGGACAAATAAATCTGCTGGAGTCAATTAATAAAAATACTGCTTCTTGGTTCCTCCTCTGCTATCATGACTCATTCATAGCAAAAAGCCGGCATTGTTCGCACCTCTGGTATTATACTTTAATTGCAATATTGCATGGCTGGTTTAGTCACACTTTAAACTGAGTTATAACACATTCACAGGGTACACACGCTCCTTAAAAGATTTGGCTACTCCAAGAGGATGGGGAAAGAGCCTGGACATCAAGGAGAAAACAGCTTATATAGGATATACTGCAAACACGCACACGATCCCAATATGAAGATGAGACCTTCTGCAGAGAACCATTAGCTCGGAAATCCCATGCTAGCTCATAAACCTCAAATACTAAAATCAGCCCCCCAAATCAGGAAACGTGCTTGGAAATCCCAGATCTATTTAAAAATCCTAAGATCTATAAAGTAACAAGAAGCGCCTGCGGTTGGAGGGGGTCTTTGTCTCCCAGCATTTGACCTTTGAGTGTATATTTAAGGTCTTCCCTGTATCCACGAAAGCCGCCGCCGTGCCAGGCATTGGCAATCCCCCTGCAAACCCTCTGCTCCGCCACGAAGGGACCGACCCCTCCTGATGCCAACGCCTCTCTTCTGGGGAAGGTGTTGGTCACCACAACTCGAGGGTTGGGGGCAACTCGTTGAAACCACAGCCCACGTGCGATGGCGTGACGGAGCGCAGCAACACGGCGAGTAACTGAAAGCTTCTGGTCAGAAGATGAATTAAATTAGGGATGGAGACAAGATATTTATCCACCAAAAAATGCTCTGCCACACATCTGCCTGCAAACAGCCCTGAGGGATCACGCTGCTGGGACCTTCCCAGCCCCTGCGCTACGGCTGGATGCCGCGGGGCGTGCAGGAGGCTCACGCCAAGGGCACATTCGGCACAACCGAGGGGCAGCCGGGGTCCCC